TTTAATTTGTTGTTTCTCGGATTCGCCTCATTTTTTTCTGATTTGCAAAAAAAAAAAAAATTGGTCCTGAATCAACTCAAAAATGCTCATATTTTGCCCCCAACAGTTGAGAAAAGTCCTTTTCTTCCTAGTTGTTACAATTTTTTTATCTATTAATGCAGTGGTTTGATTAAAAGTTCAAAATTTATTGTTTGAATTTTAACACTGCCTTTTGTGTTGACTTCATCGTAGCATTTAGGGCTATAATAGGATGCCTAGACCTGTTTTTATCTATTTATTTTTTTTTGCCCTGTCACTTCATACTTTTTGTAAAAAAATCCGAGAACCAACAAATTAAATTGGTGTGGCATTAAATAATTAACAAATACCTTTTATCAAGAAAAACTCTCAAATGGACAAGCCTATATGGTACCAGTGTAGAATGTCTACTGATTACAATGTTTACAAAGGAATATTAAAATATCTTCAGGAAATGTTGTGAATGGAAACTTATTCTTTTTCATGTGGTATAACTTTTTTGGTTTTAATAAACTCAACTGACACAACTATGACATTATACACACAAAGTAAAAATGACACTTTATAACATCATAAAACCAGATTTGAGAGCATGTCGGCAGAACATACTGCATCTGTCCGAAACCCATGCCAGAATGATCAGTATTAGCCTCCTTCGCAGTCTTGTTGGGCGTGGGCGTAATTTTTTCTCTGAGCGACGCGAGTAATATGCCGCCGCGAGGGACGATTTGCTGCCGAGGGACTTTTGCCACGGAGAGAAGGTTTCCGCGCTCCAACAAAACCTTCTCTCCGTGGCAAAAGTCCCTCGGCAGCAAATCGTCCCTCGCGGCGGCATATTACTCGCGTCGCTCAGAGAAAAAATTACGCCCACGCCCAACAAGACTGCGAAGGAGGCTATTTGAAAACCATCTGAAAGTCATTCTGTCGATATACATGTACCAGTACATACAACCTTACACAAGGTGTTATGGTGAAGTGCTATGCACAATTAATACATTAAGTTATATAGTGATTAAGGGTTTCACACAGGCACAGTACATTCTGACTATGTGCTATATTTGAGAAGCAAAGATCATAAATCTGAGGAAAATATGCTTATCATGATAAAGCAAAAAAAAAAAAAAACAGAAGAAATACATGTACTGGCAGTCCATCCCTTTGTCATAATGATCTAAGGTTATACTGCATTCACCAAAACAGTGCCTTTTTGTTACCCATGTGTGCCTCTTCTGAATCCAACACCAGCTTACATTACCCAATCATACATACTAGTACCCAAAGCAGCTAGGAACTGACAGTTATGTAACTTATGAACTGAAGACAATATCAGCAACATCTGTAAGTCCATTTTTAATCAGTTGTAATGTTAAACCTAGAGAGCAGTGTGGTACAAAGAAAAATAATTCAACGTTACATACATGCTGTACAAGATGTCATGTATTTGAGAATACATATACAACCTAGTACTTGCAATTTTTGAGAGTACAGTATATGGCTTAATTATGGTCAAACAAGATCATGGATAACATATGAGTAATCACATTGCTTGTGCTACTAGTATCTAAAGATGGTACAACTGTTGTTGACAATACTTATGTAGATGGAAGTAATCTCTCTTGTATAATTCTTTACAACATTGAGAATACCTGAAAACTAAAGCACTTAGCCTCCATAGCATGCCAAAAACTGGGGGTTTTGGGGGTCTTCAGGAGCTTTTGTGTGCTATTTTCTGATTGCATATAGACGACATAGCCGGCCTGGTTGAATTACCCCCGTTTTTTTAGAACTGGGCTAATCAGAAAACAACTAAAGACCACCAAACCCCCAGTTCTATAAGCCTGCTACAGAGGCTATAAAGCACCGATATACTAGTATATGGTGATATGTTGTCCTCTTGTTTCGTCTGAACTAAAAGCAATAAACCTAGTTCAGGGATATCAACAAAAACTGATTAAGTATGACAAGAAATGTCTCATATTCATAACAGCATAAAACAGGCTAAATTTTGCTGGGATCTCTCCACTGTGAATTCATGACAAACAAATAAAACTGATGCAAAAGTTTTTACAATCTACACACTGTAGTATACTTGCTGTCTGTTTCATTTTTCAATAATAACATTTTCCTAGGGTAAACTACAAAAAGTACAACTATAGTAAAAAGCAGTCATCATAAAAGTCTGCTTTCATTGGTTTACTGCCATTTACATCAGCAAGAGTATATTGCATAAGTCCACATTGCAACTTGAACTCCATTGTAGAATGCCGCCCTTGTAACACAATGTTCTGTTATATCAACGAAGTCTCGTGTGCCTTTCTCCAGCTTGCAATGGCCGCTTGCACGGGTGCCCCAAAGTCCTTGTGCATCTGAGCGAACGATCGGACTTTCGTGGCGCCGGACGTGTCGTAGAACTGGGAAGACCCCGCAGTGCCCGCGGAGCGAACGTTGTGTCTCGACACTCCTGGGCTCGCTCTGGCTGGTGCACTCTGGGTAAGGGATACGTTCTGGGGTACGGCCGCGTACCACGCGGACGAACCTGTTGAACTTGGTCGCGAGTTCGAGCTCTCGACTGCAGCGTTGTACCAAGTACTGGCCGCTTTGGCAGTACTCACTGAACCGCTCCCATTTCCGTTCTGTTGAAATGAAGACGTGTCGAGTGCGGTAAAGAACGTACTTGACCCTGATTGCTGATTGGTTGTTGGAGCCGGGGCTGGTTTGATAGGCGGGGGAGGGGGTGGCCCCCTGACTGGTGGAGGGGGAGGGGGTCGTGGTTGGGTCCGCGGGGTCGTGAGTTGACTCCCGTCTTTGGCGCGACACGTTTTGGATCAAACCTGTCCTTATCGAAAGGGTTTACCCTAGGCTGCGGTGCCCACCCCCCTACTGCACCATTCATAACATTCCCCTCTTCTCCCCTTGCCTCCCTGTCTTCTAGTTCTTTCAGTTGCCTCTGTAGCTCCTGTACCTGCAGCCTTTTGTAATCATAGTTAGCGCACTGCAATGCCTTCATCCACGCTTCCATGTCGTCATGGTCGTCTGCCATTAGGACGTAAGTCCTTGTCCCTGGACCTTGAAAGACAATCTCGAACACATTGGGGGAATCGGATTCTACCGCGTCGCTCGAGAGCTCGACCGTGCATCCTTCGAGAACGATGACTCCTATGGGCTCCTTGTCTCCTTTCTTGTCGAAATAGAAGAGTAGGTTGCCCTTGAGAAGAAAGTAGCGACGCTGGAAGCCTCGGTTGACCTCCCCCTTCTTGTGGAGGTAGCCATCTTTGTCGATGGGGGAGGCGCATGTCGCGTACGCGGTGACGTTCTTCTCGTTGAGTTTCATGGTGATACCGCTTCAAAATACACTTTAAGCGAGTCAGTGAAGCCTCTGAGTCCTCATGCCTTCATTTCCACCCTTAAAATGACACAAAAACGAGCCAGGAAGGCGACGGAAAGTGAAGAAAGTGTCAGAAAACGAGGCGTGTACAACTTTTTTGACTCACGACAGCCCAAAGGAATGTCGGGAACGAGTTGTGTGAACAAAGTTGAAAGGTCGACACAACAGAAACTTTGTCAAAGTCTGTGGCGAACACGGAAACTTTTTATGGTTCAAATTTCGAAACCTTCAAGTGGAATATGTCGTCTGCATGGAGGATTGCCCGTTGAAGCATGCGTTGTCGCAGCAAAGCGGAAGAGGAACTGGAAAAGAATTATAAAAGGGTCACATGAGGTCACGTAATCACGCGCTAGCCATTGGAACAGTTCATTTTGAACAAGGGATATTATCAGTTAGTTTCGTTTTTAAACACACTAAGATCGACATTATTTACATTATTTATGCTATATTAAGAATAGTCTATATATTATATACATTTAGTAGTATAGTTTACATGTTATTAGTTTAAAACAGTTTATTTTATTCAATAAAGTGAATAGTCCATTCCCGATAAATGTTATGCAAACGTCCAATATGGCGACATCTCGTAACATAGTTTGCGGAAGAATGCTCTCCTGTCTCTTGTTGTTTTCCTTCGTTTTCTCCGCCGTTTCTGACGGCAGTAAGCTCGCGTCGGTTCGGTACGATGAAGGCACCAAGACCTACCAAATCACCGACACGCTGGACACCGGCGCCGCCGCCTGGGCCAACTTTACGGACAGAATATCGTCGACTGGGTTAGTACCTATACCTTTCCGTGACTGTCACAAGTTCACTGTTTTTGCAACCGGATCTAAGCTACAGCTACAAAGCTATGCTAGTTTTATCTATAATTTTGTGTCTTAAACACTGTAGTTGTAATGCTGTTCAGATGGCCAGAAAAGAATCGGTTGATCTGGTAACCTTGTGATCTTTTAAAAATTGCAAACCAAATATTCTGACAAATCAACCAAGCGTAAAACTGAGCACCTAGAGAGACCACGTCTAGCGACATAATAGACGTTAAACAAGGACAACAACAACAATGATATGGATAGATGTCCATTGTCCTTCTGTAGCCACGCCCACTTTTCTTCGGGCATCAGGAATATTGGTAGAGGCGAGTTTAAAATGATATGTGTCGATCATGTCTTGATTTGATACAATCAATCACTCACCAGAAAACTGCTGCATATGTCGTGAGATATATCTGGTATTAAAGGCTAAACTGATATAAGAGGGCCTGCATGGGGGGATGGGGGGTAGTGATTATATCGATTACGAATTAAGCAAAATTTTTGCTGCCAACTACGAATTACGTTATAAAGTCTCAGCTGATTACGACTTTACTTTGTACACTTTGCGGCTGATGTACTATTACGAATTACGTTGATTTTTGGGGAGGCTGGCTACGGATTACGAAGGCTAAAAAGACCTGATTATGCCTTGCAAAAAAGGGCATGAAGGCCCCCATATAATTTTATGTACTGACATTTGCCTGCACATTAATTTTTGCCTGTTCTTAAAAAAAATCACCTCCTCCGAGGCTGAGAGGCCTGGGTGCCATCCATGGTAGCAAGTGACGATAGGCTGCCAAAGATCCACGGAACTCAAGATTCATAAATGCCGCAAAAGGCCAGCATGTGCCGGCTTGTCGTAAAAGTCGCTATGCACTTCCATTCACAATACATTGTACCAGCTTTGTATGAAATTGTATCCCTGTGGTTTAGCAGCATTTTTTTTGGCTGGATTTTTTTTTTTTATTCACCTGCGTCCACTAGCTAGTTTGGGGTTTTTGTTGTTGTTGTTGTCCTTGTTTAACGTCTATTATGTCGCTAGACGTGGTCTCTAGGTGCTCAGTTTTACTCTTGGTTCAGTTCAGAGTCAGTGGCGTCTCTCAAGCCAAGGTATTAACACTTAGTGACTTGGGTTTTTCAAAGGATGTCATCCATTTCTGTCCCACAGCTGGTCGTTCCTGACCGTCACCACCAATGAGAAGTACAACGACAGCGTGCAGGCGTACGCGGCTGGACTGGTGGAGGGATACCTCACACGTGATCATATGTACAACCACTGGCTGAACACGGTGGGCGCAGCCTTCTGTAGCAGCAAGAGTACATTCTGTAAGAACCTGGAGAGTTTCCTGAAGACTAACCTGGCCTGGATGAAGGAACAGATAGAGGCTAGCGGAGAAACAGACGACTACTGGCACCAGGTACAGAAAATTCAGTTACGTTATACCTGGGTTGTGATAATGTTCAATGGAGATATCATTATCACAAAGGCTAGCATTATCATACATAGTGCTGCATACCGGTTCACTGGACTTGGATCCAGACTTGTAAGACTAAGAATGTTAAGTTCAAGTCCAAAAAAACCTAAAAGTCAAGAACTGAGTCTGGACTTATTACCATAAAAGACCATTTCACATACCCCTTTTCTTTTCAAACCACCTAAAACCTTCCGTAGATTGCAAAATCTTTGCTGCAAAATGAAGAAAACATTGCTATCGGGCATCGTCAAGTGTCGGCCTCCATGTTATGTGGCCAAAGTTTCACCCAGACAACATTGCAAGGTTGCCAACATGCAATTTTGTATATGCCATGGGTTTACATTGTAGGTCCGGACTTACAAGTCCGGAACTGAACCTAAACCTCTGGACTTGAATCCGGACCTGAACCTAAATGTGGGTTTAGGTATGCAGCACTAATCATACAAGTTCTATTTTCTAACACTTATCATACAGACTTCCAAAAACTTCATAGAATAATCACCATGGTAACTGGTGCTGTAGTAGACAACCTTTAGTGTTGGATTATGTAGCAAGTTAGAAGGGGGGCTGGTCACTAGATACATGAGTGTGATGGAGTAAAACTAAACAGAGCAACAATAATTTGCCAATCTAGGCCATGTGAAGGTAAACATGATGCAATTGCTTTGCAAATGTTACCCTTCAAGTTTTTGACAGCATCTGAAATGTCTTATAATGTAATAGACATGTATGTATGAAAAAGTTTCCAGTATGTTAGTTATTTGATTCACCTTACAAGATTTGTTTAGAAGCTTGAACCTGTTATATATCTGTTGTTCCAGGTTAAGTTGACTCTGCAGCAGTTATCAGGTCTGGATGATGGGTACAATGATGAACCCAAACAGCCATCTCTGGACATCAACCCTTTTGGTTTCCTGTAAGTTCCTTCTATCTACTATATATGAGGGTCTGTATGGGGGATCCTGGCAACACTTAAAGATAAATTTAAGGAGGACGATAGATGATAACACTAGATTCAGGCAGCCCAGCAACACTTAATGGTGTCTCGTATGAAACTTTGGAAGCAGCTTCTATGGAATGTTCCCTGGTGTGAGAGGTTCAAACCTTACAGTCTTATGGCTGCACCTGGGGTCGTATTGAGGTCAGTACCGAATAGCAGCCACTCCAGACCCTTGCAATTCAGCTCCACCAATTGTTAGCTCCTCACAATCCAGCCCTTTGCAGCGTGCAAAAATACCTGGTTACCCAGTTTCCCCGGGCAACCAAATTTTACTTGGGGCAACCTATTTTTGAACCTAGGTAGCCCAGTGTGCTACCTGAATTTCAAGAATGCTCCAACCCCCCAAAAAAATCATGCCCACTTGGCTTGCACCACTGTATCCGGCAGATGCTTTTTAAATTTAGATATTAATGGCTATTACTAGTATCAGTTAACTAAAGGCTGTTAGAAATATTGTCAAAGGCTTATGTATGTAACATTACTTAATTTTAGGAAAGTAGTAACTTATATAAGTTAAAGGTGGGGCAACCTAAAATTCTGATGGGCAACCTAATTTTTGCTGTAGGTTGCCGACTGGGCAACCTGGTTCAAAAAATTATTTTGTACACTGCCTTTTTTGTCATGATCCACAGGATTTTCCAGATCAGTGGTGACATGGAGGATTTACAGGAAGCCCTGAAGGACAGAGACTCCCACCGTGTCCTCGGCTCTGGGTCCTGTTCCGCTCTCGTCAAGCTGTTGCCAGGCAACACGGACCTGTTTGTGGCTCACGACACTTGGAATACCTTCCAGTCCATGCTGAGGATCATCAAGAAATACCAGTTCCCCTTCAACATGGGTGGTGAGAATGGTGTTGGATTCAAATTTGAAATACGAAATCAAAAGATCTCCTATCCCTCTGAAATACTCGCTAATACCGTATGTATACAAATCCCTTTCCTTGGTCCTATGAGGCAACAGACATGCACAGAGCTGGAAATTGAAGGCAGGAAATGAGATAACCTTTTCTGGGACCTTTGAACTACATGTAACTCCCTGGCAGTGTCCCTGACATGCCTACAGCATGTAGAAATAACTTCAGAAACACAAATAAACAGAACTACAGAAAAACAAGCAAACACACACACACACCAAAAACAGATTTCAGAACTAAGGAAACAGATTTCAGAACTAAAGAAACTAAAGAAAGAGAACCTCAGAACTACAGAAAACACAAACAAACACACAAACAGACACACTAAAAACACAATTCAGAACTACAGAAAACACAAACACACAAACAGACACACCAAAAACAGCTAGAAACAGAACTACGGAAACACAAGCAAACATACAAACAGACACACCAAAAACAGAATTCAGAACTACAGAAAACACTAACAAACACACAAACAAAACAAAACCTAAGAACTATGGAAACACATAAAACACACAAACAGACACGCCAAAAACAGAACCTCAGAACTACAGGAAACACAAGCAAACACACAAACAAACAGACACACCAAAAACAAAACTTCAGACCTACAAAAACACAAGCAAACACAGCCAAAACAGAACCCATGTTAACTCCAGTTCCCATGTGTGTGTGTTTAGGTGCAGATAAGATCCCAGGCCACACCGTTTCCTTCTCCTCCTATCCTGGAGTTCTGTACTCAGGAGATGACTTCTACATCACAAGCTCATCCCTGGTAAGAGATAAGTTCAATGTGTTCAAATAGATACTGTAAAATCAGGGCTGGAAATACAGGGTGCATATGCACTTTTGTGAAGCCAAAATTGGAGACAGGAGCAGAGCAGACCATGAAATTGCAATATTATGTAACCCAACACCAGTCACCATGGTGACAGACGTCAACAAATCATGTCATTGGTCAGGTCAGAGGTCACTGTTTGGAGAAGAAGAAGAGGAAGAAACTAAGCAAAAACAATATTTTTCCTTCGGTAAACATAATAATGCATTCTATGATGTTAGTCATTAATGCAATTTTTACTTCCCAGAAGTTTAAAATCTTTGATTTTGTTATGACTGAATTGCGTAGGTTGCCCAAGAGACCACCAATGGGAACAGTAACCCTGCTCTGTGGAAGTATGTCCAGCCCCAGGGACAGGTACTGGAGTGGTTAAGGACATCGTAGCCAACAGACTGGCCAACAAGGCCATGGACTGGGCTAACATATTCAAGAAGTACAACAGTGGCACGTGAGTTAGGC